TGGGGAGGGCCCTGGGCACAGACCAGGTTTGCGGTCCTGACCAAAGTGCTGACAGGTAGGGAAGAAAACAAGGCAAACTCATTAGTATCCCTTATCAGCCTTTCCTTGCTGCCTTCCTGCACGCCGTTTATATAACCCATGATCCGTCAGGCTCCGAAGGACCCCACTCCAGCCGGAGCAGTAGCTTTCCGGAGAGGAAACGGCCTTTTCCCATTTATCTGCAGACAAAGGGGAGAGCGGGACCCTTAGCAGAGAGCAGGGGCCTCCCGGCCCTGCCGGAGGCTGCCCCACCAGGGGCCGATAGCCCCGGGGCATGGCAGGATCCAAAAGGCTCCCCAGCCTGCTCTGCTGACAGGGCCCCAGCCCCAAACCCGCAAGTGGCTGCAATCCCATCGTGACTGACCACTCGCTGAAGGGATCACCAAACCGTTTTAGACTTCTGCGTGCCAACTTTGCAAAGGGGCTAGCGGGAAGCACAGCTAGCATTGCTCCCGCTCTCATGGCTGTAGCGTTGATTTGCATTGCCAGGAGGCTTGTGCACAGCTCTGCATCCGAGGAGATGCCTGTGCCTTAGCAGCCAAAGACCATAATTGCACCTGAGCTGCCAGGGACAGCAACACGGGGATGTCTCAGTGCTTGCTGGGCTGGTGTCACAGGCATTGGGGACAGACACCTACGGTGTGGCAGAGATGGCAGCTGGAGTCCTACTTCTTCCACCCCTCTGTCCCCCGCTTGCTCCACATGCATTCGCCGCTGCTGGTGCTGGTGGCTGCGGAGGTGAGCGGCCCCTGGCCAGGGTTCCAGCTTCTACTCCTGACTCTCCCAGGGGCTGATGAGGTGAAATAACTCATTTCTTCTCTTTCTGCCTCAATTTCCTGATCTGTGAGATGGAAACAAAAATACGTCCCCTGCCTTGCAGGGCAGGTGAAGAGGTGAAGCATCCCAGGGCCGCCGGGCAGCGAAGCCATCTGCCAGCGTTCATTGCGGGCGCCCCATGGTGTGCGCCCCACGGCGTTTGCCCCACGGCGAGGACAGAGTGACCCAGTTCCTGTTTGCAAGCACCAGGGCCTGGTACCTGCCCGTGAAGGTCACCGCGGCCGGCGGGCTGTTGTGCACGGCCTGACTTATCAGTGCTGCTGCGCTTCCCTGTTCCCGCCGTGCCTTCCTTCCGAGCCGATTGTTGACCACAAATGTCTTGTGTGTACTTGTAAAGGAGATTTCCTGGAATTGTTTTGCAGGACTTGCAGCCCAAGGCAAAATGTTCTGCCTATCAGCCCCCTCCCCAGTGCAGGGGCACGGCGGGAGCCCCCTCCCTTCCCCTGCGAAACCGCCAAGCTGCCTCATCTTGCTGATTGATTGCTGCCCAGGCAGAGGGGTTTCGGCTGGAGACAGCCATCTGCGATAATCTCCTCCGATTGCTGATTAGATATCTTAACTCCAGCCTTGCCTAAAGCCTGGCTGTAGAAACAGTGCTGTGCAGGGCTGCAACAGGCACTGCAATTGCTCGGAGATGTTCAGCTTTTTGCTTTTTCCCCAAAGGAAAACCTAAAGTCGCCTGAACATTGCGCTACTCTGGGAGCTGGCACCTCAGGGTAGTCGATGGTGTGTTCACCCTAACCCATCCTAATCCTGCAGGGCAGATAACCCCAGGGCCAGGAAGAGAGTCCAGCTCGGCAGGGTCCCGTCCTGGAGCAGCGATTCCTGCTCCCAAGGCAGCAGCAGCTCCTGGCAGCCCACGGG